TATTCTTAAAGGTCAAATCATTAATCTCAAATATATTACAAGAATATAGACGAATGACTACAAGAAAATATGGCAAATGTTTAGTGGATGCTGGATAATGAGGTATGCTTTGTCTGCTTCATACTTTTTTTGTAAATTTTTCTCCAGTGAAAACCAATAACATTTATTTTTCCCCATCCATTTCATTTGTTTATTATAAAAGAAACATATAGTCCATATTTCATTTATACATAATCATAAAAGGAAAAAAGCAGATGATGCCAAATTAGTGATAGTGAAGAGCAGACTTTTATCACAACACTATAATGAAATCAGTTGTCTATATGGAAGGGCAACAAAGACATCTTCTGGACATCTTAAGAACTGCATAGTTGTTTTTCAAAGCAAAAGCTCTATTTCACCCTATGTGTAATGGTCATTTAAAAACCACACGAGGGCCTCCCAGGTGGTGCAAGGGTTAAGATGCAAGATATGAAGTTGTCTGCAGCCCTGGCCAGCCAGGGAGCAGCCCACATGGTGCAGCAGACCTCTTCTGACTTGCCAGCTGCTCCCCTCAGCAGTGTGCTTTGGTCAATCTGCCTGTTTGTTCTCCACTCTGTCTCTGGTGAATCCTCTCACCACCCTGCCGCCATCCCCCTTACCCCACCCGGCGCCTCTGGCCTGTACCCCTGCTCTTGTATGCATAAATAAATAAAACTTTAAAAATAAAAACGAAACGTTAAAAAGTGCAAAATCAGCCTCTATTAGATTTGAAATTTTAAATACCACATGATTAAATTACAATCATACAATATTTAGAGAAGATACAAAACTGTTACATATGCACTAGAATTAGATGAAGATATTTTCAAAATATCTTTAAAACTACTTCCAGATGGGTTATATTGTACAAATATTTTAGTAAAAATAATTTTTTTAATCTAAGGAACATTTAATAAAAGTCTGAGAACTATCTGCAGTGTTGAGCAAATAATTAAAAATTTAGATTACTTCATGAGCCACGAAGTCTATTTATGTCAAAATAGGATTGCTAATTTAGTCAAAGAATTATGTGTAATAAGCAAATTCAAAACCATTTGATTGATTTTTGATATGTCCTAGTACAATGCTTATAATATTTTAGAAAAACTATTCCCATTGAAATATCATTTTTAAGGGTTTAAATTTTAAATGTGTTCACTTAGTTAGAATATATGTTCTCTTCAGCCTAAATTTTTAGCTTGTAAAATTATGTTACTGTGTGCACTATTAACAAATTTGTTTCATTAACTAATAGTATATTTAATAGTATACGTGTATACTATTTTGTATATAAAAATAGTACTTTCTTTTAGCATGAATGACTGATTATACCTAAAGTTAGTCATCTCCAGGAAGTATTCTTGATTCCCATTTTTTGCATCTCTTAAACAAGTGTGAGGGCAGATCTAGTTTGAGGGTTTTTTGTTGTTTTTTTTTTTTTAAATAGTTCAAATAGGAAAATTCAAACTGCTTGTTTTTGAAAGAAATGTATGCTAGTTTTAGATAACCCCAAGTGAGTAGATGTTCTACAGTGAAAATATGCTTATTTCCTAAAATTACTTTTTTCTTAGTATTTTCATATGACATGCCCTAATGAGATTTTGTAACTAAATGCTTCTGGTACCAGTACCAAATATTTGATTCTCTGGGCTTTGTTTCATGTCATTTCCAAATTTTTTATAATAGTTCATGATTTTTCAAATATAGGAACTTCAATAATTACAATAACCATGAAGAAAGTTTAAGAGAAGTGATGTTAAATGAAATTACCAAGGGTATAGAGATTATATTCATAAGGAACTGAAAATGTTTCAGTAATATAAGTAATATGATTATTTTATATCATTTTCTACCAACACTATCTGCTAGTTTTTGCACGACTAAATAGAAATAGGTTTCCTGGTATATATTCATTTCTCTCTAGGCAGTTACATTAGATTTGATCTTGGAAAGTGGCTGCCAGGAATTCTGTCAGAGATAAAATATTTATGAGTCAAATGATGGTGACTTTATTAATTGGATCAGCTAACAAGGTGATTCTGTAATAAGTAATTTCCATATATGTGTACAATTTGAAAAAGGTAAAAGGAAATTATTTTGTTTTTGGCTTTTCAAAAATAGAATTATCTCTAGAAATATGACTGCAGAATTGAGGCTACTGGGGGGAGGGCCAGGGTGGAAAGAAAGGGCGGAGGGGCTCCAATGATTTAAGGTGGTAGGTATAGGTGCTTTGGTTGTGGGTGTGGTAACATATTACACATTTGAAGAGGTGTGAACCTATCCTCTGAATCATACTGTTACCTAATTAAAACAATGTTAAAACTTCCCCATCCTCTCTGCCCCCCCCACCCCCCCAAAAAAGAAAATAGGACAATCTTAGAACTCAGTGGGATATGACAAATGAACCAGGCCTAAGTTAGCTCTACTGTGGGGAAATTCATTCTGATAGATGAACCAGCACCAGCCAGAGCCTGACTCCAAAGTGGAGGGGGACAGGAGAATCTAGGAGAGGTGCTGTGCAGCAGAGTAGATTCTTAATGAGAAGTAGCAGATCTAAAGTCTATTTAGGGAATAATGTTTTTAGGCATTGAGCTGGCATCTAGAGCTAGGGTCCAGATTAGAGAAGGGGCAAATGGAAACTATAAGGAGAGATTTGACTTAAAAAAATTTTAGCCTTCATGATTTCACAGAGTTGAATTTATCCCCTGTTCAAAATATAAGCCAACCACTTTGCATATTCAGTGATTTAGGAGAGAACACAATTAAAAGCAGTTCTCCTATAATTATTTCAATGTTTTCTCATCACATAAGTACTCAGTAAGCACTCTTGTACCTTGATAACTATTTCTAAGCCCTTTTACATTGTACTGTAAATATGACAATTTGGAGGAAAGCCTTGGTGAATGCGAGGAAAGAAGCCTTATGCTATCTGACAGTTTTTCCCAGTTCTGAGAGTAAATATATAACAAAAATTCCTGTTTTTATACACAACTAACAAATTTGGGCAGCGTATTTTTTAATGATAAAAAATGATGTTGAAACATAGAATTGCTTTACCTTCCCTCATCTTGATTGCTCTCGCATGCTTGTGAAGTTGGAGATGCCACCTTCTGGTTTGATAAAGAAGATGGAGGGAGATTTATCCCTCTGAGTTGCTGAAAAGCTATTTCTGTATGGATGCTCCGAGGACTATTTGCTAGAATCCCTGCATTCTTGTTTTTTTTTCCTGAAATTAGGAATTATGAAAGAATAAGATAGCATTGTATAAGTTATATAATAAGTGCATCCTTCAGTTGAATATTTTACATATTTTACAACATGAATTAAAAATTTAAATAAAAATGTAGAATTAGAATACATTTCTAGCAAAATGATGCTTAAATTTATCTGAGCTAGTGAATCAATCTGATTCCCTTTAGGCAATTTTTAAAAATGAATACCAGAACCCTATGCTATAATAAATGTCCAGATAAAGTGATCATATTTTTTTGAAATAAAAATTGGGACAAGTTAGTCAGAAACAGGAAAAGAAATTACAAGACTTTTATCTTAAAAAATAGTCACTCGTTGAATCTTGAAGAGAGATACCTGGGAAGGAAGTTAGGGTGATGATTCAGGGTTGAAATAATGCCAAAAAGAAAAAAACTGAGGACATTCCTCCAGCGTATGTTAAGGAGACTAACAACAATTTGGTATATCCAATTTTACTGATAATTCTATCTATTGGTCAAAAGTATTGACATTCTTACTATGATTAAAATCTTAAAACCTTGAAACTGTATGTGGAGATATGAAAAATAAGTTAAATAAAAATAACATCTTTGAGTAAATTATGTTGGGTTTCTTTTAATTGAGTTTCTTTTAAAAACATAATCACAAAGAGAAAACTGCTATTCTTAGTATGCGCCTAGATCATTCTATAATGACTGTGATGTTTAATTTACTGTCTAACAGTGGTCTGAGGCAAAAAGGGAAGTTAAGAGGAATGGAAGAGATGAGGCTACAGAGGAATAGTTTTCTCCCATTTTTACCAAAATGATAGTCAGTGAAGATCTGGAATTATGGAAAAGGCTTTTTCTAAGTTGAATTAATAGAACATATAATAGAATGAGCCATTTTCATGATGTGTCCTTTTAATATACTCCCTTCTTTAAAGCTCTGCCTCTTGAAATGCTTTCCTAGTATTAGCTTCAGGAATATTCTTCATTGTTTCAAAGAAAAAGTCTGATATTCCCTTTGTAAGATATCCTTCACCTGAAGACTCTCTTGTTACCAATATTTTTAAACTTTTAATTACTACTTTTTAGCAGGATATACTAATAAACATGTTTTAATAGTCATTCCTGTGACACAAAATGAAATAAAAGCTTTAAAAAAACTAAGTTAGAAAATGCTAATCTTAAAATTCACATTTCAAGCAAATGTTTAGTTATAATATAGTAGTAGTTGAGCAGAATCAAAAATACTATATACTCTGAAATTAGAATGGCCATAAGAAACTTGAACAAACATGCAGTTTTAGGAAATGCAATTTCAAGTTAGAAATCAAAGTGAAATTTTTGTTTTTGTTCCAAAGGAAGTTTTTTTTGTTACATTCACACTGAAACTGTAAAAATACCTTCAGCTTCTGGAGTTAAAGTGAAGTCAGATCCCAGGTAATGGTTAAATCCACTAGGCAGAATTACATTTGTTATCTTTATGGGAGGAGCTTTAACTTGGCCAGATGATCCATCATCCGTAGGTGAGTTGGTAACAGGAATAAACTACATAATAAAATAAAATGTTAAGAACACCTCACCTGTGGAACTCAGATCAATAGACTTAGACTTCTTACCATAAGCCCCAACTGATGACTTAAATTTTTCAGATCAGCAGTTATATGCTTACCTAAAATCAGAGTGGATATTAGGCAAAAATTATGCAATAGACTCTTTTGGGCCCTTCATCTCCTGCAGAACTTTATATTCTTGTCTTTTCAGATTGCACTGTTCTTAGTAGAAGAGACACTTCCCCCTCTCCAAAGAGTATTAATAAGGTAAGTATAGAATTCTGAAAAGGGGAATTAGGATTTTCTCCTTTGTGATGTTTCTTTTTATGAATAGGAATTCCTGATGGTAAGAGCTATGTCTTCTACATCTTTGTATCCCTTACATTACCATTAAGTGCCTGATAGTTGATTCATTTTTCAAAAACAAATAAGTAAATAAAATGACGACTAAGAAAAGCAGCTTATAGCAATTACTTTTATTTCTCTAAATAGTGTTTACATTTTCAGTTAGTTGAGGATTAAGAGACTTTTAAAAGAATTTCAGGAATCAGCAAAAGGAATCGAGACTCTTGATTTCACTAGAAAGAATTTCACTATTCTTGCTCTGCCTTCATTAAGACTAATTTATATCCCTAAATCATATTGCAGTGATATAAAATAATGTTACCACAATAAAAAATACAACTCTTTAAAAAAGGAAAAGCAAAGGCAAAAAATACATGAAATTAAGTTTACTCACCAGTGTCTTATAATTGTTATAATTTTGTGCTCACAAATACCCCAAAATGTTAAATTTATGTTTTTAAAAATATGAATTCTGAGTATATGATTCATCTTACTTAGAGATACAGGCTTTTGCCATTGTGTAAAAGTAAAGATACTATCATATTTGAGTGAGTATTACCAAAAATGCAGCTTCCTAATGAGCATTGAGGTGTCAGGCCTTTTGTTAAAACTAGCTTGACCCAAATTCCCCAACTAATTCCTTTGTGGGAGTTTCTTCCCATTACTAATGTGGAATTGTAACAGGGTGGTCCCCAGGAAAGGGGGAGGTTCCAGGTTTCCTGCCTCACCCAACGGAGGGTGGAGCTGAGCAGGGAGAGAAGAAGCTGCAGAGGAGACTGAGGAAGGAAGCAGGATGGAGCCAGAAGGAGACCTGGTGGAGGCACATGGAGCCTAGAGACACGTGAAGAAACTGCGCTTGCCTTTTGGTTGTGGACTGGGTGACACAGATGTGGGTGAGACCCGTGGGGAGGTGACAATGGCAGCTTTTAACTTTATTTTGCTTTTGTTCTTTTCCTTCCGGGCTTGTGTGGTTGTTTCTGACCCTTTTCTCTGGGTTCCCACTGGAAGATGCTTTAGACTTGTGGCAGACTTTGGGGCCTTGCTCTGGGCCAGTCCCATTTGGATGGAGTTTTACCCATGAGGGGACGGGTAACTTTGGGTGCTTGATTTAGAAACTAGACTCTTTGCCTTTCCTGTATTGTTTCCTAGTTTTATTAAAGTTCCTTCCCATTAAAGTCTCATATGTTTTTGTGTTGATGCGGCGGATGGCAGAACCCATTTAGAATAGGCAGGTATGCAGGGTTTGGGCTCCCCCTCTCCCTGTCCTGTAACAGATTGTTGTCAAATTTTCTTCTGAAACCAAAATGTTCTGACTTAAACATACATTAAACTGAACTGATAATGTTTTCTGTTGAGCCTTCTGAACACTTAAAAGAAATGAATGTTCAATTTCTAGACATAAAAATAAAAACTATTATTGAATCTTGAAAATAGATTCCATTTAAAAAATAGGTTTCTTTAAAGACTTCAAATTCTTCCTTTATTTTACTAACCTCTATGCATGTATAGATAAATGGAAAATAACTTTAAGACTCTTTAAATTTAGAACAACTAGGTGGATAGTTATGTTCTTATCTATCACACTAATTCAAATGCAAAAACCAGAATGACTTAAGACAGCACCATAGTATAGTGACAGAAAAAAACCTGAGTTCATGAGAAACAGAATAGTGAACCAGCAAATCCTTTAGTGAAATCCTTATCATTGACTAAAATTTTAGTTTATGTACTTTTTCTGGTATGTTAAACCAATTAAAATTGTGTATGGAAATTGGGATATTCAAACTTGCTGAGTCATTTCTTCATATGTAATTTAGTAAATTTATATGTAATTTACAGCAAAAATTAGCCAACATTACCTTAAAGTTATTTTGTGACAATTTTTATAGATCTCTCACTGGAACTCTCATATACATGTTGTGAGAGGCAGAATAATACCTCTATCTCCTTCCCCTCCCAAGATGTCCACATCCCAATATCCGAAATCTCTGAATACATTATCTTACATGCAGGCATAATTAAGGATATTGAAATGAGGCGATTATCTTGGATTATCCAGGAGGGCCCAATACAATTACAGGGGTCCTTATTAAGGGGAGGTAGGAGAGTAAGAGTGAGAAGATGTCATGATGGAAGTGAAGGCTGAAGTGATGCCATTGCTGGAAGAGGCTCATAGACTGAGGAATGCAGATAGCCTCCAGATTCTAAAAAGGCAAAGAACAAATTTCTGACCTTGTGCCTCCTGAACACCTAAAAGAAATAAAGGCTCAATTTTGTTCTAGACATAGAATTAAAAATTATTATTGAATCTTAAAATAGATTTCTCTAAAATATGTGTCCTATAGTTTGTAGAAGTATTGCAGCCCCGCTAATATTTTTGTTAACACTGTAAGACTGATTTTTGGGACTTTTGGCCTTAACAATTAATTATTGTTTTAAGCCACTAACTTTGAAGTAATTTATTACAACAGCAATAGAAACCTAAAATTTCCTTTAATTTTCTATTTCTTGAAATAAAAAATTATGTTCTCCAGAAATATAAAGGACAAAGAGGCATACATAAGTCATGGAACTAAATATTATTTGTTCATTTGTTCTCTTTTGAAAGATTGAAGCCTCCCTCTGACAATAATTTCAATAGATGACCTTAGGTAGTATTCTTTCTTAGTTATATCAAACAGATTAGTAGCTAAAATTTTATTTATGAAGTATAGTTTTAGAAACATTTTTGTAGCCATTAACCACAGTCAACCAATTTACTTTGTATAAACTAGATAATCTTTATTGACATTGTGTAACTTTAAGTCCCATAAGTCTCTGCAACTAGTTTGGCCCTTCAGGTAATTGAAAAAAATCAAGGCTAATTAAAAAGTCAGGGAAGGATCTTCCTGGTGGTGCAGGTGGTTGAGCGCAGCGCTGTGAGGCTGTTTGCAGCCTCTGCAGTGCGGGTTCGATCCTGGCTGGCCAGGGAGCTACCCACATGGCATGGCAGACCTCTCCTGTCTCCCCCGCTGCTCCCCTCAGCAGTGTATTTCAGTTCAATCTGCCTGTTCTGTTCCTCACTCTGACTCTTGTGAATCTTCTCACCCTCCTACACATCTGGCCTGTACCTTGGTTCTTGTATGCATGAATAAATAAATCTTTACAAAAAAGTGTCGGGATAATTAAGAATTATATGTATAATTCATATTTATCTTCTTTGAAAAGTCAAAACCAATTTTTTTTTAAATTTTATTTTTATATTCCCCATACAATTACAACCCCCTTATTTTACCCCAAGCCCTCCTTTCCCCACTCCCCAACCCCCATAGAGTGTCTCTGGTTCATAGTTGTTTGTTGATTTTGATATTTTCTTATAGTTATTCTTTTTCCTTATCCCTTATTTAAGTTTTCTAGATTCCTGCTATGAGTGAGACCATCCGGTATTTTTCTTTTTCTTTCTGGCTTATTTCGCTGAGCATGATCCCTTCCAGCGCCATCCATGTTGCTGCAAATTGCATGTGTTTATCTTTTTTGAATGCTGAGTAATATTCCATGGTGTATATGTACCACATCTTCTTGATCCAGTCATCTATTTTTGGGCATTTGGGTTGTTTCCAAAGCTTAGCTATTGTAAATAGTGCTACTATAAACATAGGCGTGCAGGTGCTCTTTGGAATTGATGTTTCTGTGTCCTTTGGGTAAATGCCTAGGAGTGGAATTGCTGGATCATATGGAAGCTATGTTTAGTAGGTCAAGAAATCTCCACACAGCTCTCCATAGTGTTTGGACCAGTTTGCACTCCCACCAACGGTGCAGGAGAGTTCCTTTTTCTCCACAACCTCGCCAACATTTGTTGTTGCTAGTTTTTTTGATATGTGCCATTCTCACTGGTGTAAGATGGTATCTCATTGTAGTTTTGATTTGCATTTCCCTGATGACAAGTGATGTTGAACATTTTTTCATATGCCTGTTGGCCATTTGCATTTCCTCTTCAGAGAAGTTTCTTTTTAGCTCTTCTGCCCATTTTTGACTGGATTATTTTCTTTGTTTTTGTTGAGTCTCATCAGCTTTTTGTAGATTTTTGTCATCAGTCCTTTATCATTAGTGTTGTGTGCAAAAATGTTCTCCCAGTCGGTGGGGTTTCTCTTTGTTTTGGTTATTGTCTCTTTTGCTGTGCAGAAGCTCTTTAATTTGATGTAGTCCCAGCTGTTTATCTTTGCCTTCACTATCACTGCTTTGGGTGATGTGTCTGTAAAGATGTCTTTGATGTGCATATCATGTAGTGTTTCACCTATATTTCCTTCTATGTATTTTATGGTTTCAGGTCTTATGTCTATTCCTTAATCTATTTTGAATTGGTTTTTGTGCATGGTGTTAGGTAGTAGTCAAGTTTCATTCTTGCATGTAGTGACCCAGTTCAAAACCAATTTTTTGATGAAGTGCCATGGTCTTTTCTGTAAGCAGGAGTCCCTTGACTAGTATTTTATCTGATTATTGAACACATCAACTCCTTAAGGTTTTGCCTATAAGTTTTAGTTTTGGTTTCTTTAAAGTAACAAAAATGTAAAGACATGGGGAGAGAATTTGAATACAGGATCTAAGTTAAAAAAATAATTCTCCCATATATTGTGTGAATTTTTATAATTTTCTCCCATTATTACTGATTTCTTTCTCCCTTACCCAATTTGCCATGTGTGAGAGATTGATCTTTATTCACACTTTCCAAAGTATCTCATTTGATTTTCATAAAACATAAAAATAATAATTTAAAATGTGCACTTATATCTGTTCATTTAAAATAAAAGTACTGGGCCTCCCTGGTGGTGCAGTGGGTTGAGTTTACCGCTGTGAAGCTGTCCGCAGCCTCTGCAGCACCGGTTCGATTCCTGGCAGGCCAGGGAGATTCCCACATGGCGCATCAGACCTCTTCTGTCACGCCC